GCAACGGGTCCCAGGCTGTTTGCTGAGGGTAGGGGAGGGCCCGAGGGGAGGACCCGAGGGGATCACCCGGTCATTAGCGATTAATCTTACCCTGGGTCGTGGCCCGGCACGCCATCCCGCCATAACCCCGCGACAAAGTTTTAGTGCTCTTTAAAAGTTGGCTGCTGGGCTCAAGGATTTATTTCTCTCAGGGCCAGACCACAGCCTGCCGTCTTAGACAAATCGCCCGGTCTAGAACCATTAACCTGAAACCTACACCATTAACCTAACGCCCGATCTAGAACCATTAACCTGAAACCTACACCCTTAACCTAACGCCCGGTCTAGAACCATTAACGTGAAACTTACTCTACACCCTTAACCTAACACCCGATCTAGAACCATTAACGTGAAACCTACACCCTTAACCTAACACCCGATCTAGAACCATTAACGTGAAACCTACACCCTTATCCGTAAACCTAACGCCCGATCTAGAACAATTAACCTGAAACCTACACTACACCCTAAACCTAACGCCCGATCTAGAACCATTAACATGAAGCCTACACCCTTAACCTAACGCCCGATCTAGAACCATTAACCTGAAACCTACACCCTAAACCTAACGCCCGATCTAGAAACATTAACCTGAAACCTACACCCTTAACCTAACGCCCGATCTAGAACCATTAACCTGAAACCTACACCCTTAACCTAACGCCCGATCTAGAACCATTAACCTGAAACCTACATCCTTAACCGTAAACCAGACCAGAGCCTGCCGTCTTAGACAAATCGCCCGATCTAGAACCATTAACGTGAAACTTACACTACACCCTTAACCTAAATCAGAACTCTACACCTTTAGACAGAACTACAGCCCTACAACCTTTGTCGTAAATCAGAACCCGACACCATTAACTGTAACCAGAATCCTAAACCCTTAGCCGTTAGCAGCCCTACACCCTTAGCCAGATCCCTACTCCTTTAGACAGAACTATAAACCTACAAAATTATGCATTAACCATAACCCAACGCCCTTAACCGTAAACCAGAACCCTATACCCTATCATCCAAATCCTAACTAACGTATGTAAGCTACATAGCCCTTAGCTGTGTTTACCCCAGCTAACTCTAGGACAGTCTAATACTTCTACTGGGACATACAGCTGTGATGATTCTATTGGATACGCTATCCAACTTTTGGCACTGGCTGTAACAATAACATAAAAAGAACCCAAGAACTACCAAACAGTTTACAAATAAACAATTTGAAACAGAAAGCACAGCCTCAGCTAAAATTGCTCACAGTTTAGATGGCAAAAAAAAAAGAAAAAAAAAACGTCAACAGAAAAAAAACATACAGTTAATGCTAAAATGCATTAAGAATTATGTAAATCGACGAGCAAAAAAAAAAAAAAAAAAAAAAAAAAAAAAAAAAAAAAAAAAAAAAAAAAAAAAAAAACTCGAGACACGACAGAAACAAGTTTTTACAATCCTCAGTTTTTTCACTGTCGAGCAGGTCATACCATAATTAATAGGCGGAGTTATCTGTGGTAGAGGCGGAGTTATCTGTGGTAGAGGCGGAGTTATCTGTGGTAGAGGCGGAGTTATCTGGCTTCTCTCCGGTCTTTTTGACATCTTACGTCGGTTCCATCAAGGTTCTATTTCCTGTTGAACTCAAACACACTTTAACATTCCAGCACTCTAAACCCCAAATAAAAATCAACAATATCAGCACCCACGCACCCTCCCATATTAATTTCACCCACACCCCTAAATCAACATCACATATCAGCACCCACACCCCTAAATCAACATCACATATCAGCACCCACACCCCTAAATCAACATCACATATCAGCACCCACACCCCTAAATCAACATCACATATCAGCACCCACACCCCCAAATCAACATCACATATCAGCACCCACACCCCTAAATCAACATCACATATCAGCACCCACACCCCTAAATCAACATCACATATCAGCACCCACACCCCTAAATCAACATCACATATCAGCACCCACACCCCTAAATCAACATCACATATCAGCACCCACACCCCCAAATCAACATCACATATCAGCACCCACACCCCTAAATCAACATCACATATCAGCACCCACACCCCCAAATCAACATCACATATCAGCACCCACACCCCCAAATCAACATCACATATCAGCACCCACACCCCAAATCAACATCACATATCAGCACCCACACCCCCAAATCAACATCACATATCAGCACCCACACCCCAAATCAACATCACATATCAGCACCCACACCCCCAAATCAACATCACATATCAGCACCCACACCCCCAAATCAACATCACATATCAGCACCCACACCCCCAAATCAACATCACATATCAGCATCCACACCCCCAAATCAACATCACATATCAGCACCCACACCCCCAAATCAACATCACATATCAGCACCCACACACCCAAATCAACATCACATATCAGCACCCACACCCCCAAATCAACATCACATATCAGCATCCACACCCCCAAATCAACATCACATATCAGCACCCACACCCCCAAATCAACATCACATATCAGCACCCACACCCCAAATCAACATCTCAACACTACACCCCGATAACTTCGATATCTCAGCACTCCACCTACACATTAGCACCAACAATTTTAGCACCTCTTCCATTTAAAAAACTTTACTATCACTTCAATAAAAAATATAAACAGGGATGTCAACAGAGGGGTATCTTCTAAGAGAGACAACTCCAAAATCAAACAACTGCTGCCTTGTAATTTGTTCTTAGTTGGACAAAGGCTATGGGAGCAAATCCAAAAAGAAAAGCAGGCTGAAATCGGAGTCAATGGCCTCAATGGCGCATAACCAGTTGACACGTAATCCTTAATTGTGATGGAAGCATGGTCGAGTCGGCAAAGCTCATGGTTGATAAATTCGAAAAAAAGTCTCGAGTTCAAAAACCTCTGGCAGATAAGGCTTGATCCCTCCCAACACTAAAAATTAAGAACGAAGAAGAAGAAAGACAAAGGGGTATTAAATATGGGTGTTAACAAAGGGTGGTATTAACAAAAAGGTTTAACAAATCAGTTTTAACATAGGGGTATCAAGAATGGGTAATAACGAAGGGGTGTTATTTTCAAACTCAACACATCAAACAAACACATAGTTTTGTTGTCTTATGAAAGTCACTTTCCTGACTCAGGCTAAAGCCAATACACATGTCACATTAATTTCAAACATAAATGTCAAGTAGATGTCACTGTTGTTTTACACCACCTGGTATTTAGATTAAAAAAAAAACAAATAAATCACTGAAAAATGCTGACAAACAATATCCGAGTTTAAAAAATCTGTTTGGTTTTTCCCAAGGTTTCTCTCAGACCCTACCTGTTTAGCTATAAAAACAAAATGTAATTCTCTTTCAACATAAAAACTAGCCTTTGTTTCTTGATGCCTAGACCACGTGACCCGTCTATTAAATTGTTCTTGTGATCTTGCGCGTATTGTTACAAATACCTCGGGAGAAAGTGCAGGCTTGATTGTCTCCCTTATTTGAGCGGGTTGAATCGCCTCCCTTTGCTTAAGCAGGTCAGATCGCTTCCCTTGCTGATCCAGGCGTCTTCCCATTGAAAGGTGTAATTTTAATGTCGACAGGCGTCGATCGGGAGCTATGTTGGATAACTGACGCTGCTTGACGGATGTTGGATGACGGATGCTGCTTGAAGAATACTGCATGAAGGCTTCCCACACGTCAAGAGGTCCGTTTGAAGCTCTCCCAAATTGTTTTAGCACAGTGACACATGTTTAAATGACAACAGATTAAAGAGGGTCTGGCCTCGACTTCAGCTGGCATGAATTTTAATTTCACGTCTGCTTAGCAGATGTAGAAAGATGGGCTTTTTAAGTCGGCTAGATGGGCTTTTGAAGGCTTTGGCGTGCTTTTCATCTTCATTGTTCATTGGCTGGGAGTGCGGCGCTAAGCCAATGGATGAGATACAAGGCACGGATGGGGGGTGGGGAGGGGCTGGTGTAGGGGGGAGGGGCGGCTGGTGTAGGGGGTGGGGGCTGGTGTAGGAGATGTGAGAGCTGTGTACTGCGTCAGTTGGGGCCGTGTGGTGCCGCGTCAGTAGTTTGATGCCGCGTCTGTCAGTTGATGCCGCGACAGTCGTTTGATGCCGCGTCAGTCGGTGGTGCCGCGTCAGTCAGTTCATGCCGCGTCAGTCGGTGGTGCCGCGTCAGTCAGTTCATGCCGCGTCAGTCAATTGGTGCCGCGTCAGTCAGTTTGTGCCGCGTCCGTCGGTTGGTCCCGCGTCAGTCTGTTGGTGCCGGGTCAGTCAGCTGGTGCCACATGCTTTAAACTTTTCTGCTTAAGAACAAGTCGATAAAACATGTTTGACCTTTGTGTTTTGAAACAAGCCTATAAAACATGTTTGACCTTTGTGTTTTAGAACAAGCCTATAAAACATGTTTGACCTTTATGTTTTAGAACAAGCCTATAAAACATGTTTGACCTTTGTGTTTTAGAAAAAGCCTATAAAACATGTTTGTGTTTTAGAACAAGCCTATAAAACATGTTTGACCTTATGTTTTAGAACAAGCCTATAAAACATGTTTGACCTTTATGTTTTAGAACAAGCCTATAAAACATGTTTGACCTTATGTTTTAGAACAAGCCTATAAAACATGTTTAACCTTATGTTTTAGAACAAGCCTATAAAACATGTTTAACCTTTATGTTTTAGAACAAGCCTATAAAACATGTTTAACCTTTATGTTTTAGAACAAGCCTATAAAACATGTCTATGTTTTAGAACAAGCCTATAAAACATGTTTGTGTTTTAGAACAAGCCTATAAAACATGTTTGTGTTTTAGAACAAGCCTATAAAACATGTTTGTGTTTTAGAACAAGCCTATAAAACATGTTTGTGTTTTAGAACAAGCCTATAAAACATGTTTGTGTTTTAGAACAAGCCTATAAAACATGTTTGTGTTTTAGAACAAGCCTATAAAACATGTTTGCCCAACGGGACGTGGTACAGACTGCCGGGAACGGTCCACGAATGGACGGACTACTCACAGTGTACCAACTTTGAGGTGAGTCGTTGTGGTGTTGCTGGTGTTTGGGGTGAGAGGTGTGGTTGGTGGTGTTGTTGGTAATTGGTGTGGTTGGTGGTGTTTGAGGTGAGTGGTGTGGTTGGTGGTGTTTTTGATAATTGGTGTGGTTGGTGGTGTTTGAGGTGAGTGGTGTGGTTGGTGGTGTTTGAGGTGAGTGGTGTGGTTGGTGGTGTTTGAGGTGAGTGGTGTGGTTGGTAGTGTTTTTGGTAATTGGTGTGGTTGGTGGTGTTTGAGGTTAGTGGTGTGGTTGGTGGTGTTTTTGGTAATTAGTGCGGTTGGTGGTGTTTGAGGTTAGTGGTGTGGTTTCTGGTGTTCGAGTGTGTGGTTGCTGGTGTGTGTGCATGAGGGGAAAGTCAACGCTCAAAACAACAGGAGAATAACTGAATATAGAGAAAAACCGGAACACCTTGTTCTGACGTGTTTTCCAACTGTTATATTTACCTGTGTCCTAACATGTCCTCTACTTGTCCTGTTCACCTGTGTCCTCACAAGTCCTCTACTTGTCCTGTTCACCTGTGTCCTCACAAGTCCTCTACTTGTCCTGTTCACCTGTGTCCTCACATGTCCTCTACCTGTCCTGTTTACCTAATCCACTGATGCTTCTATCCACAGCGCTTTCAGGACTTCCTCGTCGCCTCAGTGGCCGGTAACGTCATCACCTTGACCTTGCTACTGCCAGCCTGCTTCATCTTTCTCTACTTCAAGTAAGTTGTCTTAGGTTTATGCTCACCCGACTGCCAACCATACAACCCACAGCTCTTGTAACTCACTGCAATAACACAACACAATCGTTTACATATTTCAACGTTTACTCTAAAAAAAATTAAGTAACACTTCTGAATAAAACACACTATCTTATAACTAACACAACATTTAAACAAATCACCACATCAGCTAAATTCAACTACTTTAATTTAACAAACAAAAACTAACGTAATTTTACAAACATTTAGCTAACTATAACTACTACAACTGAACCCTACTTGTTTTAATTCACCAAAACTACTCAATACAAGCTATGCAATCTCTAATTAAACCAATGTAATCAAAATTCAAATCGATTTACCATAACTACACCACTTAGACAAAGCTTTAACAAATCATCAAGCACAAGAAAACCACTTTTAATAAAACCACTACCACATTGAAACCCACTAAACCTTCAACCAGTAACCACTAACCGTACCAGTGAATCCAATTGTACTTTAACTAACCTCTTGGACGTACGCAATAAAAGTTCCCACTAATAGCTTAGACAGGTTATCGTAATTTAAATGGAATGTTTTTATTGACTCGGCGGGGATAGTTTTCAGGGACTCTCAAGGCCGACCGGAGAAAATTGGCTCATCGAACAGACCGATTGATTTAAGGGTTCAATGTCACGTGATACGTAGATAAAGCGATGGGTCATTTGACTGCTTCAGTCATTTTATTTGTTCAGTCATTTAACCGATTCAGTCATTTAACTGATTCAGTAATCTGATTGCCTCAGTCATCTGACTACCTCAGTCATCTGACTGCCCAAGTCAAATGACTGCCTCAGTCATCTGACTACCTCTGTCATCTGATTGCCCAAGTCAAATGACTGCCTCAGTCATCTGACTGCCTCAGTCATCTGACTACCTCTGTCATCTGACTGCCCAAGTCATACTGCCTCAGTCATCTGACTGCCTCAGTCATCTGACTGCCCAAGTCAAATGATTGCCTCAGTCATCTGACTGCCTCAGTCATCTGACTGCCTCAGTCATCTGACTGCCTCAGTCATCTGACTGCCCATGTCAAATGACTGCCCCAGTCATCTGACTGCCTCAGTCATCTGACTGCCTCAGTCATCTGACTACCTCTGTCATCTGACTGCCCAAGTCATACTGCCTCAGTCATCTGACTGCCCAAGTCAAATGATTGCCTCAGTCATCTGACTGCCTCAGTCATCTGACTGCCTCAGTCATCTGACTGCCCATGTCAAATGACTGCCCCAGTCATCTGACTGCCTCAGTCATCTGACTGCCACAGTCATCTGACTGCCTTAGTCATCTGACTGCCCAAGTCATACTGCCTCAGTCATCTGACTGCCTCAGTCATCTGACTGCCTCAGTCATCTGACTACCTCTGTCATCTGACTGCCCAAGTCATACTGCCTCAGTCATCTGACTGCCCAAGTCAAATGATTGCCTCAGTCATCTGACTGCCTCAGTCATCTGACTGCCTCAGTCATCTGACTGCCCATGTCAAATGACTGCCCCAGTCATCTGACTGCCTCAGTCATCTGACTGCCACAGTCATCTGACTGCCTTAGTCATCTGACTGCCCAAGTCATACTGCCTCAGTCATCTGACTGCCTCAGTCATCTGACTGCCTCAGTCATCTGACTACCTCTGTCATCTGACTGCCCAAGTCATACTGCCTCAGTCATCTGACTGCCTCAGTCATCTGACTGCCCAAGTCAAATGATTGCCTCAGTCATCTGACTGCCTCAGTCATCTGACTGCCTCAGTCATCTGACTGCCCATGTCAAATGACTGCCCCAGTCATCTGACTGCCTCAGTCATCTGACTGCCTCAGTCATCTGACTGCCTTAGTCATCTGACTGCCCAAGTCAAATGACTGCCTCAGTCATCTGACTGCCCAAGTCAAATTACTGCCTCAGTCATAAAAATGTCGCTGTCAAGTTACTCCCAATCACACACTCCCGCAGTAGTTTAAATGTTGCACTTACTCCCTGCAGTCATCTTACTGCGTCAGTCATTTCAGTCAGGAATAACTAGAAATACCGCTGCAGTAATGAACCCATCTTTAACTAAGTGACTCCTCTTATAGCCTACTTGTAGGCGTCGCTGACCTTATGACTCCTGCTTCTTCAATCAAATCTAATACTGAAGTCAATGACTAAATGACTATTCTACTCTAAGAAATACATTGTACGCTTCATTGACTCAAAGACTCATCTTTCTTCAAGCAAATCTATTACTGAAGTCAATAACTAAATGACTATTCTACTCTAAGAAATACAGTGTACGCTTCATTGACTCAAAGACTCATCTTTCTTCAAACAAATCTAATACATGAGTCACTGACTCAACGACAGGCCCCCCCCCCATCCCCTCTCCCCCACCCTATTTGAACTCCGTGTTTCCTGTTCCAGCATAATATTTCAGCCGATGACTGATTTACACACCCCTGACACGGATCCTATATTTTGCCGGTTATTTTTTAACCGGACGCTAATCTGTCAGACTACAATAGTTTCCTTGACCAGATGGTGGCATGGCCAAGACGGCAAGATTTAAATCACGAGGAAAAATCTGGCAATTGAAAGATTGTCGTCTGAGAACTGGGTAAACAAGGGAAGAAAGTTCAACAGTCGCCGCCATCTTGGTTGTATGATAACAATGTATGGTCAAGGATTAGTCTTATGTTGTGTGTGTTGGTATTTTTACACGTATGGTATCGTGTATATTTGTTTGATGGTATCAACTGCGTTAACTGGTATTGATTGCAGTAGAGTGTGTTGGTATCGCTACAAGTGTGATGGTATAGTGCAAGTATCGTTGTATTTATGTGATGGTATCGACAAATACGATTCTGGCACCACCTCAAAAGTATGCTAGTATCCCTTTTTTGTATGTTTTTAACGTCACATATGGGGGGGGGGGGGTCGTATAGTAGAGCTCACGATTACGAACCCTAAAGTCTCGAGTTAGTGAAACAAAGGCGGCTGGGTATAGCGCTGACCACACTATCCCCGTGTAAGCAGAGGTAATTGAAACAGATGAACTCTACTTCATCTGCCCCATGTGTCTTGGGTACGAATAGAAAAAGATGATGAGCCTCACATGTGTGCGTGGAATTGTTCCTTCTATGTGGTGGTATCGTCACATGTGTTACTAGTATCTGTTTTGGTGTCGTATTTTATATGTTCATAATTCGCCTGAAACTCGACCTACAAACCAGTTTAACGTCCATATAATATAAACCTAAATTAAAAATAAGTTAACGCCCAGTTAAACCTAATTAAATAACAAGTTAACACCCCAGTTAAACCTAATTAAATAACAAGTTAACACCCCAGTTAAACCTAATTAAATAACAAGTTAACACCCCAGTTAAACCTAATTAAATAACAAGTTAACACCCCAGTTAAACCTAATTAAATAATAAGTTAACACCCCAGTTAAACCTAATTAAATAACAAGTTAACACCCCAGTAAAACCTAACCTAATATAACCAGTTACCAACCCACCATATTAAACCTGTCACCCAGCTCTACAATGTCTAAAAAAAATGACGTACTTCCTGTCCCATGAATTAAGTCTCATGCCTTGAAATAACCCTAATTAGAGCTTGGACGCTCGGAGAAAATAATTCACCTCCTCTTAGTACTTCTCCCTTTCTCCTCATTTTCCTCTCATTTGTTTCCCTCGCCTTCCCGTCGTTTCTATTCTCCCTCCCTTCCAAGCCTGCTATCATTTTCCACTATTTCAAATACCGCCAGTGCTGGCGAGCTACGTCATATCGATTCTACTATCGGCTGTTCCCGATGTATGAATTATAAACTACATCATACATTGGTGATATAATTGAATAAGTAACAAATACTCACCGAACACTTGTCGTCTTGGTCTCCTAAGGTTTGTAATCACGCATAGAGAGTGGACACAGTTCACTGTACTGCAGTGTATATCAGAGGTTGCTGTATAGTAAAGGAAGGTCAGTCTATTGGAAAAATCAGTCTATTGGAAAAGTCACTCTATTGGAAAGGTCAGTCTATTGGAAAAGTCAGTCTATTAGAAAAGTCACTCTATTGGAAAGGTCAGTCTATTGGAAAAGTCAGTCTATTGGAAAAGTCAGTCTATTCACTATTGGAAAGGTCAGTCTATTGGAAAAGTCAGTCTATTGGAAAAGTCAGTCTATTGGAAAAGTCAGTCTATTGGAAAGGTCAGTCTATTGGAAAAGTCAGTCTATTGTTTTATCCAGCTCAGAATATTGTGCGATACATGACGTAGACTTTCCCGTCGCAGCGAATTAAAAAAAAATCTATTTTCTATAAAACCCAGATCACGTAGAGTCTTCGGTACAGTTGTGTAACATATACACCATAGTGCACTGTACTGTACCTCAAAGTCCCCTGAACGCTATCCGTGTATGATATGTGTCAACTAATGTATGGCTATTTGTAACAATAAAAAACATCGTAGTGACGGCTTGGTCGTATGGCAGAGCATTTGATTGCTAGTTCGTTCGGATCTCGGGCTAGAGTTGTTAGAACACCCTTGAGCCGACTCAGCACTCATGCGTACCTGACTCCACTTATAGAAAGTCAGTTTGACTGGGCATAAAACTGAACACAATATGCCTTCATTTACTCTGGTTTACTCTGTTTCACCTATTCCAAAGATATCCTTATAGAAACATAGTAGCGAACTTGAAATTTTCTGCAGACAAAAAAAAATCGCTTGCAAAAGCAAACCGACCCTTTTTCCCCTCTCCCCCAACATCAATGGCCGTAACGTTAATGATACATTGTTTATCTTCGATGTAGATTAGGAATGTAGCAGTTTAAAATAAATGTCCCCTTGATGTGAAGGGCCATCACGTTTAAATACATTGTTCAGCTGCTGAATGCTTAGCCTAAAGATTAAAGAACGTCAGCTTGGCTGAAAAAACAACGCTGACAAAAGTTCTTTGTCGACGAAACTTTAGCTT